CTTCTTCTTGATTTTAAGAGGCAAAAAAGCTACAAAAAATCGCCCATGAAAAATTTGCCCCCGGAAAATTCACTCCCGATCCCTAAGAGCATTCGTTGGATTCCAACCATCCAGAAAATTCGCGTTTGGATTTTACTCATAAGATCTTGCCTCTCCCCTTTTTAGAAATAATCATAATATTCCTTGCCGTAAATATCAGGTAATTCGAGACGATAGAACCGCCTGCACAAATTCACCCACTAGGTACTTATATGGCCCGAGAGTCTCCTTATAAGTAAACTCACCCGCGTGATTATCACCTCACCTTCCATCCCTCAAGGAATGCCACTCCGGAAGCGTGGAGAATCGTTTCCGAAATATTCCCTTCGACGGAACTTGGCTCCGCGTAACTTCGGCTTTGGTACAATCATCTCCGTAGATAGGGGATTTGCCTCTGGAATATTCACTCCCGACATGATGGCCCTAATAATATTTCCTCACTCAGATTCGTCCGACAAATGTATCCCCAGCGGGATTCCCACTAAGTTCACTCACAAAGACCGGGCCTAAATTTCTTAAAATTGGCGGAATATTAGATCCGGCAATTTTATAATAAAAACTTGTCCCTGGATTTACGGTCCCATGTATATTCGTCTTTGAAATATTTTTCCGGACACTCGCCCTCGTAAATTTCTACGAAGCTGAAGTCCCTCAGGGTGAATATTTCGTGGAGGACCTTTCCAGAGCGAACAATTACAAGGCGAATATACCCAGTAAGTATGTAACGGAAGCGGATACACTGAGGATGAATATCCTCATGTGATTGGTACGGGAAAGAATATTTCGGAGGTTTTGTTAAATTGTTAAAATGCTAAAATGTTAGATTAAGCTTATTACCTTGTAACCAATTTTGTTTAGTTTCTAAACCCCAAACCAGCAATTTATGAGTACCTCCTGGAACGTAGTGATCATCATTCGCCAGCTCATGAAACCCTTCTAGGTCATTTCATTATAGGGTAATGGATGGCAAAAACTAGCACATAACTTCGTCCAGATGCCAATTCTTTAAAGTACATTTTCTCGTTTCAATTATCATTTAAATGTGTGGAACGTGCAATTTTTAACGACTTCCAGTTCTTTTTAATTTCGCCGTGAAGCAAAATAAAAATTTTCGAATATTAACTAATTCTCTAGCGAAACGCAGAAAAGCAATATCTCGTGCCTAATTATTCTTTTGAATTCCCACTCCCATTTCAATGGCAGAATAAAAAGAAAATATACGATTTTCTGTCATCGCGAGACGACTTACAAAACTTCATAGAAATTAATTTGGGGATTTACCTGGCAGCTTCATGACAGCGTCCATTATTTTCTTTGTCACGTCCATGGAAGCCACTCGTTCAAAAGCTTCAGAATCAATTTCCGGAAATACCTGATTAGGATTTAAAGCAGAGCTGCAGCAGCGGCTTAATAAATTACCCAATGTATCCGCCAGCTCCGAGTTGAGAATGCGGGTAAGTTTTGTGTCACTATAATCTAGAAAATTGCGATTAAGTCAATAATGTAGGAAAAATTTCATTTTAACCCACTTACTTCCATCCGAATGAGCCACCCCCTCCCTCAATAGAAAGTACCTTAAACCGTCGCACGTGTACAATAAACTTCTATTAAATGGAGAAACGACGTTGTTCTTTGATTTAGACATTTTCTCATCATCCACGGTCCAATGAGAATGGCAAAAGAGGGTTTTGGGAAGTTCTAAATTCGCGGCAAGTAGAAATGAGGGCCAATAAATACCGTGAAACCTAAAAATAATAAAGAATTTATTATAATTCCGGGAAGATGAATTTTTCCCCAGTGTTTTAAATTCTTTCAATATTTTTCTGTAATTCTAAGACCGAATTTAATAAACGTTCGTAGTGTGGAGCTCTGTCAACAGGTTGAGAAACGTGTTCAAGTCAAATTGTATTTTGCGCATATATATTTTTTTATCGAATCTTTTCTTACCCCACAAAATTTAAGTGTCACTCATCTACAGCCGTTTTACATATATGAGAAACCTAAATCCACTTTAGTGTTCATCAAAGTGATTGTTGTTGGTTTATAGGAGTTTGCGGTAAAATTTGCTTCTCCGATTTACGTAAACACATTTTAAACACGTATTGTTCCATATTTACGCTATAATTGTAAGTTAATTTTATTTCCGCAACTGTACCTATTGACATCAAGATAAAGAGTTTTCTCAACTAAATCAGTGAAAAAATAACGATTTTCACACCTTTCGATCCAAATGTAGGTCATTGAAAATCCATAGAAGTTACCTACGTCTAAAGCCTGAGCACGAACGCGTCTGAGCATGCAAGTGTGGACGTCCATCCGAAGCAGAACAAGGAAAGGAAAACTGCCTCGACCCATTCGTTGTGCGTGCTCGGAGTGATCCAACCGCTTTCGGTCCATCAAAGGAATTCGTGCTTGGTTCGTGCTCAGTGTGGACGTCGTGTGCGTACGTTTTAGCTTTTTCAATTGGTTTGTAAAGACGTCCCGAGCACGACTGGAACGAACACGCACACTTGCGCGGTCTACCTCGTGCGTGGGCAATTTTTTCCTTACATTTTTCCACTCGAGGCCGTACCAAATGCCACGGCTTGCCTCATTCGCGTGCGTGCTCAAGTTTGTACGCACCTTTAGCCATCCAGGTACAGAGTTTCCACGTTTTAATGAAATTAGTGAGATTTCGACACCTATTGGTCTAAATACACATTGCCACCAAAATTGCGTCAAACCTTTGGCATCGAAATAATGCATTCAGTCATTTTTCCAATGAAATCGATATTAAATAAAGACTTAAATTAAGTGCTACTGCTATACACTTTTAAATAAAAGAAAACTAGAAGTTAATATTTGAGAAATTGCTGTAGAACTGGAATTTTTCTTCTTTGCCCATTCGGCCGTTGTCTGAGGGGCTTCTGTTGGGAATAAAAGGTTGAAAGGGGGAGGTCCACCTCTTGAGATTATAAGTTTTCGTTTGATACCTATATGACGTATGTAGCAATTATCACTTTTAATCGCACCACGGCAGAACAACCCTCCTACGTGCAGTCCTCCGCAATCTCTGAATGTTTACGGAAATCGCTACTAGTAGTTTCCGAGCTACGAATTTTTTCTCTTTTTTTCTCGTTTTTTTCGCTTCGTACCAGTCACCCCTACGATTGCCGGAGAAATTTTCTCCACCCCGTCGAAGTTGCGCTCGACACTCCACCCCGATCCTATGGGCCGATGCCGTACGTTCAACTGTCTCGGATCCGCGAATTTTTTAGTACGCGCGCACCTCCTCAAGCACGCTCACCAGCCGCACATTTCTAGGATCTTCCCAGGTACTATTTTGTCTTAAGTAAGTAACGCGAATTTATGTAAAGAATACCTCCAAAATTTCACCAAAATCAGCTCGTTTTTTTAAGAAATTAGATATGAAAAGTAAGAACCTACCTCATTTCCTTCTTTAAGTGCGGATGCCTACGGCAATTTTGTCTGAATTCTAGGTAATTTTATAAAAATTATAAAAAGTAAGTCACAACCAAAACCATAACTTATAAAAAACAGAATTCCAAAATAATTTCATGATTTCCGTAAGATTTTCGTAAATTTCAAAATAATTCCAGGAATTCCAAAAAACTTCCATAAATTCCAAGAGCACACAAGAATTCCACAGTGATCTGCTCCTCAGATTTCACTTGCATCTCGATTTACACGACAGTAGGTTCGTGGTACTTGCAGATGTGATATTGGCTCTTTGCCGGTGGAAAAACTCCCTTTAACGGTTACTGGGAATCCGTATAAAAAGGTTTCCTTTTGCAATAAATGTTCGATAAACACAACACTTAACTTTTTCGTACACGTAAACAGACGCTTCCGCTTAAACACCACTTAAACATTCACTCTAAACGACGGAATAAAATACCTTTAAACACTCTCCATCTTTCTTCTACGACTTTACAATTAACAAGATCGACTGTATTGCAACGAAATGCTCAATTACGGAAGACTGCCAAAAGATCCACCAAAACAAAACGCAACGATTAACGTCCACCATAAAAAAACACGATTCGCGTCCGGCTCTTCCATTTGACGACCTTCTACACCTTCCGCATCTACTTATTTATCAAAATTATTACACCGTCTAACGATATTAAACCCCTGTGTTTTCTTATCAGGGAAACAACGTCAAAAACGGGAGTGAAATGTCAAAACCGAAATCAAAACGTTAGATACCTACGAGCTGGTGGACACCATCGCCAAGATAACTGAAACGGCACACGTCCACCACGTGAACCAAGCAATTCAGCACCCAACACGCCAACCCCGCACTACAGACCCCACCCATCAAGAACATAGTGAAAGACGTACGATTTTGTGACTTAGGAATGGGGTACTGTAACGTTTATATGGCAAAGCCACATGTTTATATCAAACGGGCAGGTGTTTGACAGTCGAGGCAACACTTGCCGCCAGCTGTTCTAAAGTCGCCAACAACCTGACAGTATTATACCCCCACCAAAAAAAAACGTCGTGCCACTCGGTGCCGGTTACGTGGATATCCCCCACCGTAGAAATAAGGTATAAAAGAGCGTGCATCGGCGTAAAAACGTAAAAATCTGTTTCAGCTGTTCAGCGAAAGAGGATCTCCTCTAGGGGTACCTCTGCACATAGCATAGACCACCATAGAAATATCTAACGCTGTTAATAGCGTAGGACCACCATCGCTCCTATAGCGTGACAATATTCCAAGGGCTACCGCTGCTTCAAAACGTGGGAACTACACCGCTCCTATAATGTGCACGTATCGCAGCTACCTAATCTCCCTCGCCTGTTACTCCAAAAAGAGTGAACACAAGCACCGGAGCAACGAGCTATAACACCGTTATCAAAAACGTCAAAGCGTCACCACACAACCGCCAAAACGACAAAAATAAATGAAATAAATCATCTACAGGGTGACCCAACATTACTGTAGGTGCTGAAACCAAACAAAATGTCCGCATGACGTAGTTTGTACAACATGTTTATTTGAGAACTCTTCTTCTTTTGAAGGGACTATTTCTCCTGGATGGTTTAAAAGGCAATGAGGGACAAAAAGTAACAGTACACAATGAAATATCAAACACAATTTAATAATTAACACTTACCTTCAAATGTACAGGGTGCCCCAGCTCCGTAATTGTGCACTTTTTGGGTCAAACTTAAAATGGTAAAATCAAAATTTGAAAATAATTTGCTCCCTTAGGAGATACGGAAGAAAACCAAAAAACTGTCAATTTCAGAATCGCTCCATATTGTCTTAGTTAAAAAATACAAAATAATGTTTGTCACAATAGTCTCTTTATAATGATTGTTGAATAATTTTTCATTTTCAAAATAGGTATAATTATGGGGTCAGGGATCAGATAAAAAAGTTATCGGACCTAACCTCATTTTTTTTAGATGGGACACTCCGTATACTTTAATCTAAAAAAGAGAGCATATTAAATTCTCTTCAAAAATATACCACATGATGGATGAGAATGGATTTGTTCACGATTTATTTAAACCTTTAAGTAGGCCATGAAACAAAACCCAAAAAGAAACGATACTATGTTAGCATTGTAGATGGAAGGACATTAATTGTAATTACATTTTAACAGGCAAAGACTACAAGAAATAGTGGGCACAACACTTATTCAACGTGTGCAAGTATTGGCAACGCAATATTGTCCCGACCAGAATCGAAACGGTGAATTTGATCTTCGGCGGGATACAACATTTTTTGGCGACCGTGACAGGACATTGCGTGTAAATACAGTTGCAAAAGAATAAGTGTACGTACGAAAAGTAAACAGAGGTAAAAATGGTTGACAACCTGAAATCAAAAAAGGAAAAATCAGAGAGTTCTCCGCGCGTCCTTTATGAAGATCGCAAATGAGTTAGACGGACATTTAATACAAGTTCCTTTGGTGAGTAGCAGTGTTGAACTATTTTGGAAGTGCTTACAGACCAAGTGGGACAGTTTAAATGCCTGTGATAATGGGATCTATGACATAATGCTTGAAGAAGACGTGGAGGAGGAAGCGTTGTTGATAGAAATGGATGAACGAGAGGTCTACTTGAAACGGTTTACAGAGCTTAAGTTACGAATCGAGAGGTGTCTGTTGAAGCCTGCAGTAAGACAAGTTATGGATGAACGAGAGGTCTACTTGAAACGGTTTACAGAACGTAAGTTAAGAATCAAGAGGTGTCTGTTGAAGCCTGCAGTAGGACCAGTTATTAGAGATGGCAGCGAGGGTAATGTAAACATTGACCTTACACCAGGTAAGGACAAATTTAAACTACCTCGAATGCAATTTAAACAATATGATGGAAACATAAGAGAGTGGGTAGGGTTTTGGTCTCAGTTTAAAAAAATACACAGCGATAGTGAGATAGGAAACTGCGACAAAATCGAATACTTGATACAAGCTACAGTTCCAGGCAGTGGTGCGCGTCAGATAGTAGAGAGTTTACCAAGTCTTGGCGAAAACTATGATAAAATTATTGAGTGTATGAAAAGTAGTTTTGGGCGAGAAGATTTGCAAATAGAGTTCTACGTGCACGAGTTGCTAAGACTAGTTCTAAAATGTAATGATTCGCATCAAAAAATGGATTTGACTAAATTATATGATCAGATAGAGACACAGTTAAGAGCGCTTGCCACCTTGGGCATCAGTTCTGATAAATACGCTGCTGTTTTGTTTCCACTGATGGAGTCGTGCCTGCCACAAGAGTTGTTAATAAT